CAGGTTGCAAGACCCTTGCACCCCTAACCCTTTAGGGAAAAAACCCAGGTATGTTCAAACTTGACAGCTTTAAGACTTGTCTACTTCAACTCCCAGAATTCCTCCTCCAGTCACGTTAGCTCAGGAACTCTGGCATTGAAGTGTGCAAGTATTAAAGCTGTCAATTTACAAGACCCTTGCACCCGTAACCCTGTAGAAAAAAAAACCCAGGTATGTTCAAACTTGACAGCTTTAAGACTTGTGGACTTCAATTCCCAGAATTCCTCCTCCAGTCATGTTGGCTCAGGAACTCTGGCATTGAAGCATGCAAGTCTTAAAGCTGTCAAATTACAAGATCCTTGCACCCCTAACCCTTTAGAAAAAAAAACCCAGGCGTGTTCAAACTTGACAGCTTTAAGACTTGTGGACTTCAATTCCCAGAATTCCTCCTCCAGTCATGTTGGCTCAGGAACTCTGGCATTGAAGCATGCAAGTCTTAAAGCTGTCAAATTACAAGATCCTTGCACCCCTAACCCCTTAGCAGTGGTGGGTTTCAAAAAATGTTGGAACCTCTTCTGCAGGTGTGGCCTGCTTTATGGGTCCACTGGTGGAACCTCTTCTAACCGATCCGGTAAATTTGACGAACTCATTCTACCGAAGAGGTGGGAACTGGTAGGAATCCACCTCTGCACCACACTATAAAAAGATGTTGAGACTCTGGAAAGAGTGCAGAGAAGAGCAACCAGGATGATGAGGGGACTGGAGGCTAAAACATACGAAGAATGGGAAGATTCCACCCCTGCTCTAATCTGCTGTGAAGTCTTCACATCTCGATTCTACCCAACCTGACAAGCCTCCTCTAAGGCCAACCTCTCAGCTGAGATACAAAATAAGTAATGGATGCGGGCGAGGTGACAGAACAATTACCGAGTCAGCTCCACAGGCTTCTGCCAAAGTCTCTATTTAATTTTTCATTTAGGCAGAAGGGGAAATTGTCAAAAGCACGGGGAGCCATCCGGCGACCTCAAGTTAATTACATTTAATTTGAAATCAGCGACAGCCCGGCGGAATCAAGAACGCATTTTGTAGGGAAGAAAATTAATGCCTCTAAATTTGATCTCCTGAACTTTTAGGGAAAGGATCTGAGGTTCCGTAAAAAAGCCAGGATGTGTTTTGGGACTTCACCAAATTGGCAAATCCTGATTTAGCATTTTTGGGTAATTGTAGCACCCTTTGAGTACATTTGTGGGAGCTGGGATAAATCAACACCCTAACGAAAGAACAAAACCAACTCAAGAGAAACCTGCAGAAGAGAATATTTGCAGACTGTGAGAACCTTTGTGTTCTCTGAACTTGGGGGTTTTCTTGAAGACATTTCATTGCCAAACTAGGTAACATCATCAGTGTCGACTCATAAAGCATTCTTGGCCTGCCCTCGAGTTGCCATAGGCAGCAGGGGAGAGCTGCCACAACCAAAATGCTCCATTGGAGAATGTGATTTATGACACACCCTGGGAGGAGGTGGGGGAAACAGGGCCATGGGTGGGCCGTACATCCCATGGGGCAGAGCTAACTCCACTCGGTACATGCTGACACATTGCTCCTAATAAATAACTGGATTTCTTTTGAAACTTGGCTCAAGGCTCATGAATTAAATTAATTAGGGCATCTGTCAGAACCCTGCCAATCAGTGCTAGAAGGAAGTTGGGTTTTCAGGAGAAGTGGGGGGGGGGCTGTGGGATCTTTGATGCTCTCTGAGCTTGATTGTTTTCTTGTAGGTATTCCATGACCCAACTAGATAACATCATCAGTCCTAGAAGGAAGTAGGCTTGTAGAGAAGAGGAGGAGGAGGAGGAGGA